CTCACAAGTTCATACATAACACAAACTCAGTAAAGTACATGTCATCATGACAATATCAAATTTTACGTTTAAGATAAAAATGTACCTTTATCTAAATATGGATATCAAGTCAGAATTAAAGAAATAAGTTGCACAGTAAATAATTGAGTTCAATAAAGCCAAATGGTATTTTCATACCATGAACAATAAATGGCAACTACAATATGGAGCCCTAGATCTTGCTGAAGATCAACACAGGATCACAGGGTGTTAATTTTACTAGAATCAATGCCACATAGATTTCATTCCTATCCTAAAACTAACAAAACTTTCTTAAAAACTGCCACAACACAAGTAAAAATGCTCCAACCGTAATTTCCATAAAGTATGGTATTTGGTTGTTAAAATCTCATCTCATGGGCTGAATATCTCTGCTCAAAGGGCACTTTGTGAAGCTTAAATGTGATGACTCCAATATAAACTGCACATTTTGTCAAAGCAGGAAATCTAAACCTGGCAAAAATTCAACAGTAAATGAACCCAAGACCAAGAATGTTTTGTTAGAATATTTAAACTGTTAAAAAAGGGTCAAAAAGCAATACATTAACCAATGCAAATTGCTAAATTATTTTTTTTTCAAGAGCAAACACTGGTCCTTTTCAGCTGGAAATTCCAAGGGGTGTATTAGCTTTATCAATCTCTAGACTGATGGTGGACATTTCATTGAAACAGACCAACTTATCCTTGCATTTGATAAGTCAACAAAAGGAGTGCAACCATTTTTGATGACTCCCACTTCTGTGAACACCTGATGTTTAATGGGGCAATAACAAATGGTAACATCAGGTCCATGTTTAGTGACTATGGCCAACTTTATTTCTGCAGAAGGCCATAATATGTTATGGCTTTTAGTAATGGCACCTTTAGAGAACAAAATTCAGAGATAACTTTTTCTTTTAGACTCCACAGGCCATACATGTTGGATAGGATCATACTGAAATTAACCTTCTGACAACACTCCATCTATGTTTAACCCCTTTGCGCCGGTGCCTCCTGGCCCTTGAAGAGGTTTCAGAAGCCAGGAGGCGGGGCTTTAGGGTTATGTGACTGCCATCACATGATCGGAAAAGGTCCCGATTGCAAGGGGAGATCGGGGACCTTTCTGTGAGTCACAGACATATGTGCTGGAAGAGCGCGTGCTCTTAGCACATATGTATTTTCAAAAGGTATGCAATTATGAGGCCACTCTGTGTCAAGGTCCAGATGCCGAGAGGCTGCATATTTGTGTGCGCTCGGTGTCTAGGGGTTAATCAGTAAGATGAATAAAAACAAAATGATTTTACAATTAACTGATATGCAAAGGTTACAAAGGTTAACTGTTATGCACACTTTATATCTTCCAACCACAAGAACATGTATGGGAAGCAACTCCTCTACAAAATTAATTTCAACTCAGATGGCAAAAAACAAGGCTATTTAAACATTTCTTTGGACATTCCTCTTATTACACAAACACTGAAAATGAATGATAAATGTCCAGATATTAAAGATTTGGTGATACCTATACATAGAGGGAAATGATTAGGACACACAAAATTGGTCAAAACTAGGGTAGTCTGACCACTGCATGTACAGCCAACCTTCTATGTATACACCCATCATCCTTGTGACAGGTGTAGCCATGCATGATGGTTTTAACAGCTGGAGCAGAGGGTTGCATGTTTTATCACAATGTATTATATCAGTAAACATTATAAACTATACAGTCGAACAAATGCAATATCAATCATACCATATCACTATTGCAAAGTCCTTGCTAAGATTTATAAATATGCAGTTACTTTGCCGAGCCACTCTAGACAATCTGTCTATGCTCCATGTGTTTTTCATTTTTAATAAACATTACAGTTAATTGAATTTGGGCTCTCTGCACCTATCCTTCCAATTAGTTAAAATTCTGGCCAAGATTTTTTTTTTTAAAGACAATACTTCAGGTGTCTGGTGGCTGCTGTCCTAGCTGAAGAGGGGTGGGTGGGGGGTGTGTGTGTGTGAGTGTGAGTGTGTGTGTGTGGTGGGGGGTGGGTGTGTCTTACACCCCCTGTACACACATAGATTTCTCTATCAGATTCCTACATCCACATATACGGCATGGAAGGAGGAATCTTCTTTGCTGGCTATTGTATCCAGACAGCCACAGCTTGCCTGTGGCTGTCTACTTGCCTGAGCAGTGCCTGAACCAGATTGGATGCAGTCACTATTTGGTCAAAACTTTGTCACCCGGCTCCTTCGATTTTTTAAGTTGAAGTGTGCCAAACCTGGTGGTGCCATTAGAGCATTTATCAAATTTCGGATGATTCAGCACGAAATAGGTCAAAATGTGAGCCAGTTTAATACTGAGCTCTCACAAGAACACCAATTCTGTCCACTAATCACTGCCAAATTTAGGTGGTCCACACTCCACATGCTGAATTCCATATTGCTTAAAATAAACAGGATATTCAGCAATAAAAATGCAAAATCCTTGAAGCAGCCTCAATGCACAAGGTATAGACAGGGACTACAACATGCAGATCTAACTACCAGAGTCACAAATAAAAAGCTGCAAAGTGTATAGGCTCCATCAGCACCCACCAAAATCTCAAATATTGCTTGACAAGTGGTCTACTCATTGAACTGCAAACAAAATATAAATAGTGTTAACATTTTGTTTAAACAGGCCTGGAATTCAAAACTGCTCCTTTTCCAGTATCAAACCAAAGCACAAAAGGAATGACAGAGCCACTACCTATGGAATTTAGTTGATGTGACCTGGAGACAGGAATCTGACTAAATGCATATTTTGTAGAAAGGAAGAAAATGTAATAAAACAAAGGAGTCAGACGGTTTTGTGATGGATTTCAATAAAAAGTTGCTTCAAATCTCCGAGCAAAGGCCATTGGCATGAATATACCATTGTGATACAGGACGGGAAAAATTCTTTTGAAGTGTCAGCAAATGAGGGCTTGGTAAATAGAAAAGCACAAGCCTAACTAGCTGCTTGTCATCAAAGCTGCTTCTTTAGTCAGTATCTGACAGGATTAAAAAGTCTCCATTTTATTGGGCATTTCATGTGCTTAATAAGAATACATTTTCTGTTATTTTCATCCTTTATATATTTTTGTAATTCATGTCACCTAAAAGCAAATTATTTAATCTGGTAATTTAGTATTCCCTCTGTGGTCAGTAAAGGCCCCAGATTAATAATGTGTTTGTGAGAGCCTGAAAAGAAGCACAAACCCCTGATTCTTCAGGCTGTTTGGGGTCTTTGTAAACTCTGAGCTAGCCAGGCCATACACAAGAGCATGGGAATTGTATACGAATTGGGCCTTTTGTTATTCTTGATGCCATGGCATTACTTGTATCAGGGCTAAGGAATGCAAGTTTCCCCCCTCTCCTTGCTTTTGACTGCCAATACAGAAAATGCATTTGGCCTCCAGCTGAGCATCTGAACTGAGCTATAAAAGATAAGAGTATAATAATTGGCTCACAAGAATATATTCAACTGTAGCAGATAGACACTGATAGAGTGCAAAGGGAGAGTAGCTCATTAAAATAGTATAGTGTGCATCTAGGCTACAGTATTTTATTTGTGGTACATCCGAGATGGTGTCTCTTCTGGCACTGAGGAATACTCTAGGCAATAGAATTCTGTGCTAAATTGAACTTGGGAGGAAACACCAGATTGTATCCGTTAGTCAGCACCTAATAAGAAATAAACTGACAAAGAAGAAAGTTATGAATTGTGGGAAGCAGCTGTCTGTGTACGCCACTGAATCAGCTTTAATTGAAAAATTAATGGAATTATTTGAAGATCATAGATTCCCCACTTTTTCAGTAGAAGTGAGAAAGTAAATAGCCCTATGTATCCTTTATTGATCTCAGGTGCCCCTGTCCCACAGTACTATAGCAATGGGTCATATTCCTCTGAGATCATAGTCTTTATCTCCTGCTTGTTTAAAGTGTTAGGGTGTTTGGGATGTCTCAAACACTCAATATAGTTATGCCCTGTATAACACATGGCATTAGCCTATAGCATTTTCCTGATGTTTTCTAAGCATCTAGCAAGGCTATAGAAAGTGGACAGAAAAAGTCTTAAATTCAAGCAAACTACTCACAACCCAGCACATAAGAAAACAATAGCGAACCACTTTCCTATCACTTGAAGACTACCTAACAGCAGCTTGCTTACTACTTATATTGAATGAGGACAGTTGGAGTGACCACAAGGGGTTATAAACAGTTCATATGCATTGAAAATGCTGCAAGCAACGATTCAGCAATGGCCTAAAAATGAGCCACTTTTCAACCCCTGCCATGCATACCGTCTGGCTGGCAGACTGCTTGTGCCTCGGTCTGTCCTGAACACTTTATAGTACTAGGTATTAAAAGGTATGTTGCCCATAGTCACTTGAGTAATTAAATCTAGTGGATCAATTTCAGCATATTAAATCCCTCCACGGCATGTAAATTAACCACCTGCCCTCCAGAGGATTTACCCCCCTTCCTGACCAGGACATTTTTTGCGATACGGCGCTGCATTAAATTAATCAATAATTGCACTTTCTACATAAATGAAATTTATGTTCTTTTTTCCCCACAAATATAGCTTTCTTTCTGTGGTATTTAATCACCTGTGTGTTTTTTCTTTTTGCACTGTAAACAAAAAAAAGACAATGTTAAAAAATATATATATATATTTTTGACTTTTTCCTATTGAACATGTCCAGAAAAAAATGTAAAAAAAATAAAATTGTCAAAATTTTGTTTAGGCCAAAAGAAAATGCATTCTGCTACATGTATTTCCTTAAAAAAAAAATCCCAATACGTGTAAATTATTTGGTTTACGTGAAAGTTATAGAGTCTACAAATGGCGGTATATATACTGGAATTTTTATGTATTTATTTTTTTACCAGTAATGACGGCGATCAGCGACTTATTGTGGGACTGCGACTGGCATTCTGACATTTGGGGGGGGGACTGACCAACTGCCACTGACATCCCCAGTGACACGAATACAGTGATCAGTGCCAATAAAAAGCACTGACACTGTACTAATAATGACACTGGGTACGAAGGGGTTAACATCTGGGGTGATCAAAGGGTTAACTGTGCATTTTACATAGTGTACGTTTTACTGTGTAGACAAGCTGCTTTGTATTGCTCTGCTGTGCAGAGCAATACAAAGCAGTCTGTACATGCTGACAGGGGAGAGATCTGTATTGTTTACATACAGACCTCTCCCGTCAGCTCCGCCGACAATCACAGAGTCCCGGCTGAGAATCAGTGGCTGGGACCCGGTTATTGACATGCTGAGGAGCCAATAGCGGCGTGGGTAGGGAGCGTGCACCCCCTGCCCATAAATACAAAATCGCTTTTATATACACGTGATTTTGCGCTTCCCTGCTGCACTGTAGCAGTACTTCTGCTATAGGGCGGTTGGGAAGCGGTTAAACCTGAGATTAAAGTATATATATATCAGTGGCTTCAATAACATGCTTGGCAGGTGCTACACCAACCGACCATGACAGGGTGTATAACTCCTGCTGCAAAATGTGTACACCCCTGGCCACTGCAGCTAAAGGGGGTGTGGTTAGGACAGGGGTGGTAAAGACACGTCTTAACTGAGGTTTTACCACCCTCCAAAATGCAAATGTAAATTAACCCTTACTGTTCTGAGCCCCCTATAAGGCTGCTTTTACACTGATGGGCTGAAGTTTACCTGTACCGAAGGTGCAGCACAGTTCATCTGGGACTTTCCTGGGTTAGCTGTGCTTTGCCATAGACTTCTATTATAACTTTCTTTATGCTTTATCTTTATGCTTTCATGAGTTTTTTGTGTACTTTCAGATGGTGCACCAAACCGGCAGGATATAACAGAAGACCAAACCTAAGCACAGCAAACCCACAGGAAAGCTGCAGATACATTGCACTTCATATGCAGTGAGGGTAAACTGCAGCGCATCAGTGTGAAGCAGCCCTGTACTGTTATGCCCAATGTATTGCTTCACACTGACCTGAAGATCTCTTCTTTCCTGCTGCTGGCACCACTCTGGAGACCGCTAACTGGGATAAGAGGTGGAGTGCAGTTGCTATCGTTCCGAATGGGACAGGAAACAGCACTACAGAGGAGGCATCGGCCTATGTGGCTCTTGCTTCCTACTACAGCTCCAACTTTTCAAGTAGTCCCTCTGCACTCTTGTTTGATGCTCTGGGATGGTGGGTGGGTCATCAAGCCAAGAACGTGATGTACCAGTCACCTGTCCGACATCTACTGGTTGCTGACCCCTGGCATAAAGAGACAGCCCAATCCAGCAAAGAAATCCCCATATATTCAGCAAAAAGACATCCCCATCCTGGCAAAGAGACATTCCTAAAAAACATCAGCTCAGCTCCCAGGTATAGGAATTGTGCAGCAGCAATGTAGCACCTACATATTCAATGGGCAGGCTGGTCCATGAAAACTCCCCCCCCCCCTCCTCTTTACCAGCACAAACCAACTAAGCTCCAATCCCAGCTCATTGATGCAAGATGCGGCCCTTCCCTCGGTTTGACTGAACCCAAGCTCTATTCATATTGTAAGTTGTGTTAGAGCAATAAAGTATTAGTTTACCTTTTGAGAAAAAAAAATAAATATATTATGCACATATTTTTGCAGAAAAAGTACATTTATTATATTTAATTTTAGGAGCCTGCAAAGCACTGCACCAGTGATTAGTGGATAGTGGGTGCAATGTCATGTTTCCACAGACAAGCCCTACAGCTTTCAGCCCATACCTCTTTATAGGCTGTCAGTTTGAAAGCTGCACAGTTTATGAATGAATCACGAGCATGCTCATCAGGTCATCACTGTGGAATCCCACACAGTCGTGCCATTTTTTTAAAAAAGTGACAGTGGGTACGGGTAGATGAACCCCTCCCCGCTATCACCCTAAATATGGCTGTAATGTGTAACATGCTCCAGAAGGTGAACTTAGGCTTTAAGGAGCAGAAACAAAAAAGAGGAGCGGCTGACTAAAAGCTGGTTATGTATATTTTTTTCTAGAGGTCTGTCACATACTTTATGAATGGTATTTAATTACTGGAAAAAAATCCACTAAAGAGGTAACAGCTTGAAGAGAGGATCTAAAACAATAATGTAAAAAAGGCAAAACATAGCAAGCAAGGCACAGATTAATTAAAGCATTTTGTTAAATTCATGACATGGTTCTGGGGATTACAGCATTGTTCAGTGCCTAGGGCGCCTGAAACCTGATGTGCATTAAGTAACAGTGTATATACCAGCAGGGCAGCCAAAATACTTCTACATAGAGATCATCTCAGAGAAACGCCTAATGAAAACAGACTTTGTGGAAATAGCCAGTTGGCTTTAAGATTATAGCAGTATTAGTTTAGTATTAGCTCAAAGTTCAATGAAGGCAGAAAAAAAAAAATCAATTTCCTGGAAGCAAATCCTGGCAGACAGCAGATGTGCATTATCAGAAAACAAGAGTTAAAATATAACCACATCAGAGGTGATACACTGAGAAATACTAACAAAGATAAATATTAATTTATAGTCAGGAGGCAGAAACTATGCTTAAAGAGCATATATTTAATAAGCAGTTCCTATTCTCAAGTTACTATGCTAGAGTACACAGTACCAATATGAAACCTTAAAGTGATATTAAAGCCTGATTTGTTTTTTTTTAAGTAACAAACATGTCTTACTTACCTGCTATGTGCAATGGTTTTGCACAGAGCAATCCTGATCCTCTCCTCTTCTCAGGTCCCCCGCCAGTGCTCCTAGCCCCTTCCTCCTGCCCCCCATAGCAAGCAGTTTGCCAGTGCAGGCTTAGAGTCAGAATGCTCTTTAGCCATAGCCACTAATTTTTATTTTTTTATTTAGATCTTGTTTTTCTAGTTTGCTTTGCACAAACTTTGAGGTTTAATTCTTTATTTATTCCTTCTCCACTCTGCATATCACTGAAAGAAAGGTGTTCTTTAATAATACTCATGCAACTATTACGGCCCAATTCTGCAAATTAGAAATGCAGGCCCTAAAGGAAGGCTTCTGACCTCCTGAGTGGGCTACAACACACATTCCACCTGAGGGCGATAATGTTCTATACTGTGTTAAGTACTACACAATTTTCATGGTGTGACTGATCTCTGCAGCATCAATGAGGAATTTCCTACACACCACATAAACGGTAACATCCTGCTTTTTAGAATCCGTGTGTTCTAAATTTTCACTAAGGCCCCATTGCCTATGCAATTCTCATTAACGTAGTGCAATCAAAGAGCAAACATGTCTGAAATGACCAAATCTGTAGCAATGATTCCGTATATAGAGGTACATTTTTACATATGAAATGCACTTTCTGCAGTAAGTTCAATAAATTCACTATATAGATATATAGGATAGATTGTAAACTCTAGAGCAGCCAATTTGTTTTTTTTTTTCATTCAACCAGCTGGTTAAAAGGAAAAATAAATAGTGACTCGATTACCCCATCCACACACTTGATGTGTATAGGGGAATCCTCCCTGCTGAGCCTTTGTATTCTGAGAGCAGGGAACTTCCCACACTGTCAAAATACACTGATCAGCGCTGCCAGCTACAGCTGGTGATGCTGATCAAGTGGGGGAAATCCAGCACGGCAGTTGTACAGGATTCAATCCGTAGATTGACTTCTGAACAACTTCTCTGACCATATATGGATCAAAATTCAGCCAATGCCCGCTATACCGGCCGAATTTCAATCCATGAATTGTATGGCCAGCTTAATGAGAAAGGTCCTCTGCTGTATTGAACTGTAATGTAACTGTACTGGTTCCCTCTGTTTTGTAAAGCATTCAACAAACAATTGCTGCAGTTTAAATCCTGTATAATAATAAAAATTAACAATAATAATATTGAGCTGCAAAGGATTAATGTTTTCTGAAATACAGCAATGCCCAGAAGTCTATCAAGACTAGAGTTTAGCTGTAAGTCCTTCAACATACACTATTGCCAAAAGTATTGGGACACCCATCCAAATCATTGGATTCATTTGTACCAATCACCTCCATGGCCACAGGTGTATAAAATAAAGCTCCAAGGCATGCAGACTGCTTCTAAAACATTTGTGAAAGAATGGGTCACGCTCAGGAGCTCAGTGAATGCAGGCGTGGTAACTGTGATTAGTTGCCATCTGTGAAATTTCCTTGCTACTAAATATTCTACAGTCAACTCTTAGTGGTATTATAACAAATTGGAAGTAACTGGGAACAACAGCAACTCAACCACAAAGTGGTAGGCCATGTAAAATGACAGAGCAGGGTCAGCGCTTGTTGAAGCGCACAGTGCGCAGAAGTCGCCAACTGTCTACAGAGTCAATAGATAAAGAGCTCCAAACTTCGTGTGGCCTTCAGATTAGCAAAACAGTGCGTAGAGAGCTGCATGGAATGGGTTCCCATGGCTTGGCAGCTGCATCCAATCCTTACATTACCAAGTGCAATGCAAAGCATCGGATGCAGTGGTGTAAAGCACACCACCACTGGACTCTAGAGCAGTGAAGTGTTCTCTGGAGTGACAAATCACGCTTCTCTGTCTGGCAATCAGATGGACTTGTATGGGTTTGGTGGTTGTCAGGAAGACCGATACTTGCCTGACTGCATTGTGCAAAGTTTGGTGGAGGGGGGGGGTTGTGGTGTGGAGTTGTTTTTCAGTGCTTGGGCTTGAAGGAACTCTTAAGGTGTCAGCATACCAAGACATTTTGGACAATTTCATGCTCCCAACTTTGTGGGAATAGTTTGAGAATGGCCCCTTCCTGTTCCAACATGACTGCGTACCAGTGCACAAAGCAAGGTCCATAAAGACATGGATGAGAGTTTGGTGTGGAGGAACTTGACTGGCCTGCACAGAGTCCTGACCTCAACCTGATAGAGCACCTTTGGGATGAATTAGATAGGAGAATGTGAGCCAGGCCTTCACATCCAACATCAGTGCCTGACCTCACAAAAGTGCTTCTGGAAGAATGGTCAAACATTCCCATAGACTCACTCCTAAACCTTGTTGACAGCCTTCCCAGAAGAGTTGAACCTGTTATAGCTGCAAAGGCCCTGGGCCAACTCAATATTGAACCCTACGGACTAAGACTAGGATGCCATTAAAGTTCATGTGCGTGTAAAGGCAGGCATCCCAATACTTTTGGCAATATAGTGTATGTCTATTAAAGATCAGCAAATGTGACCAAACAAGTCTACCCTGCTCTCTGTTGTGATTCACTCCGCTACTGTTTTCTTTAAAGTAGAACTATTGGCAAACACTTTTTTTTTTTTTTCCATTTTGAATAGAGCAAGGGAGGGTTATAAACCCTGTCAATTTTTTTCTCCACCATCTTTGTCC